CACAGGGATGTATTTCCAGTATCTTATTCTTGAGAAGTTCCCAACTTCTCCCAGACCCTTTGTCTGGAAAATTTATCTCCATGGGATCCTACCTAGCATTCATCTAAGCTTACTGAAAGTGGTTCTCCTGAAATCTAGTATGTGTGCATGATTATGGTTCAATTTCCTATTCCATTATATTCTGTGCCTCAAGATAACTTAGTCATATCCTCCCAAAGTTCCCACTACTTTTACTTTTTCAACCAGATCTTCTCTGTCAGTCAGGAGCAGATCAAGGAGAGATGATGCCCTTGTCTTTTCTTCAACCTTCTGAAAAGTGAAAGAATCAGCAACCCTCCTGAGGATTTTAGTCCTTGCATTCTTGCCTGAGTTGTTCTCCAGTATATGTCTGGGTAAGTGAAGTCTACTATTATCGCTGTGTTCTCCTCCCTGGAATTTCTCTAATCTGGTCCAAGAGGGCATTTTCCAGATCTTCTGCCTGGCTTGGCAGTCTATAGTACACCATACAATAATATCATTATTTTTTCTGCTTCCTTGAATTCTTGAAATGTTTTTGAGTGGACCCTCATGTTCAAATTACTGGATCTCAACACATGTGTGTACTTCCTTCACATATTCTTTCTTTTGTTTGACAAAATGTATAACTTGTCTCAATGCACGTGGGTTTTGGGCAGTGAACAACAAAACAGAAATCACAAAGTATGCAAGAATAAATCTAATGCAGTCAACGTCCTATGACGGCATCCACAATCATATTGGGCCAAAGGCACGATTAAATATCTAGCTTTCTTGCGTAATGCAATGAGGGTTGGGGCCACACATGATTCCAGGGCAGAGATTTCCATCCAGTAGGGGCTACCACAGAGAAGGCCTATTGTCTGGTTCTTGATCCATAAATCTTGTAAGGAAGGGGGACTCTCAATTGGTCTTCTGAATGACTGAACCAGATTCAGTCCTGGTGCTGCACGGGAAAGGGCCTTAAAGGCAATGATCAGCACTTTGAATTGGGCTTGGAACCCAACTAATAACCAGTTTGCTGAATTTTGTACCAGCTCCAATGTCTAGATTGTCTTCAAAAACAGTTCCATGTGGAGCATATTATAGTAATCCAGTGAGCTGGTGATTGTGGCATCCATTACCCCAGAGCATCCAGGTACAGTCATAATGATCACACTAGCCAAAAGTGGGCAGACACCATGATTTCCACCTGCTGCTTGAACAAAAGCCGAGAGTCTGTCCTTTAGAGGGAGCACAACTTCAGGACCAATTTTAACTGGGTTGCCAAACTGATTTACTGAAGAACAGAAGTGCTATCTTAGTGGGGTTTAATCTGAATTTGTTTCACCCTATCCAGATCCCCACATTGGCTGATGACTTTCACAGCATCTTACCCTGGGGTCGCAATGTGTACGTGGGTATCATCATCATCATCATCATCATCATCATCATCCTGGTAACATCTTTTTTTGAATCAAGAGATGACCTCTTCCAGAAATTTCACATAGAGTAGATGATAAACAACATGGGTGAGAGCACCAAGCCTGGGAGACCCCACACTGGAGGGCCTGGGGCCTCAAGCAATTATTCTCTATGACCACTTACTA